CGGAGGCCGGAGGCAGAGGCAGGTGGATCTCTGTGAGTTCAAAGCCAGCCTGGTCTATACAGTGAGTTCCAGGCCAGCTGGGGCTACAGGGAGACCCTGTCTCAAAAAGACCAAAAAAATAAATAAATAAAAACAAAAATAAAAAATAATCCACATTATGAATGAAATCAATAATAAATCAACAGGAAAACAGAGTCTTCCATAGCATTAGAAGTTTGTTCCTGCCATGCTTGGTAGCATGTGCCTGTAATCCCAACACTTTGAGACTGAGGCAGGAGGACTGCTGCAGCCTAGCATAGTAGTAAGAACCAGGTAAGCCAAGTAAGCCAAGGTTACATGGCAAGACCTTATCTAAGGAAAAGAAAAAAAAGCAGCCTTTTCCTGTTTTTAAATCAACCTTAGTGGCATATTATGGGTATCACAGTTCAGTCACTAATCTACTTAGCTGTGTTGGCCCAGAGTGTCCTTTTTTGTTTTGTTCTAAAATAAAGACTCCTCAAAGACTACCTGTCCCTGATCAGCCCAGTAAACCTTTCAAAGCAGGAGGCGCAGCCCTGGCTGTTCTCTGTGAACACAGGCCAGCATCATAGATCCTAACAGCGGCTCCTTGCTCACTGAAGAGTCACTCCTGCTCCATAGTGCCAGGCTCTCATCTGCAACCAGCATTTAGATTCCTGGAAACAAAAGGCTACTTTCTTTCTCTTTTGGTCTCATGTTTGTTTTACCTCTTAGACAAAGAAATCAGAGAATTACAACATAAAAACCAGTTCAACTTGTTATCTTCTTTCTTGCTAATTTGTTTTTGTTTTTTTCCAGTCTCTCTATGTAGCCCAGGCTGTCCTGGAACTCATGATTGTCCTGCCTCATGCTCCAGAGTGCTGGAATTACAAGCCCAGACCACTGCTGTCTGCTATTTATTACATTCTCCATCTTCTAGCTAAATTACCATTGGATCACCCTTAACTAGCACTTTTCTAGAAGAGCTAATTTCAGCCACAGTGACATCTTTGAGGTCTTTTCCTATTTTCTCAAAAGAGAAAGGTCTCTCAGAGGCCAGAGGCTCTCTGGTAGAGATCAATGCCAGAGGTTAATGGGACCCTCCTCTAACGTGAGAGGACTTGAGCAGAATTTGGGCCTGGTGAACAAAAGATCCATGTGACTGACTTGGAGCTAAGCCAGAGTACCTGAGTCAAATGAAGGCACGACAGCTAGAAGTCTGTAGGAAAGACTACTGTTTAGTGCTGGAGATGCAGCTCACTTGGTAGATGTGCCCAGCATGCACAGAGCCCTAGATTGGGCACCTAGCACCCCATAAATTTGGGTATGGTGGTGCATGCTTCCAATCCAAGCACTCAGGAATTAGAGGTAAATTCAGTGACAGCTGCCAGCCTGGCAAAAAAAAAGTTAGGTATGGTAGTGCACACCTTTAATCCCAGCACTCAGGAGGCAGAAGCAAGTGGATAGGTGGATCTCTGAGATCAAGTCTAACCTGGTCTACATGGCAAGTTCCATGGTAGCTGGGGCTACAGGGAGACCTCAAAAACACCAAAATAGAGGCTAGAGAGATGGCTCAGTAGTTAAGAGCACTGGCTGCCCTTTCAGAGGACCTGAGTTCAGTTCCCAGCACCCACCTAATTGCTAAAACTGTCCTTAACTCCAGTTCCAGGGGATCAATACCTTATTCTGGCCTGCATGTATATTGCAAGACATGGGTCCACTTACATACAATCAGGGAAAACACTCATACACATAAAAATAAATAAATAACACCAAACTAAAGAAAAGTATTTCTGGTAGTCTGTTAGGATACCAGAAAGTTTATCATTGAGGAAAATAAAAGTATTCTGAGAAAGATGCTTCCTTAGCCGTTCCAGTTTCCCAGGGAGGCAGTAAGGAGCAACTGAGGCTGGATGGCCTGAACTCACCACCAGAGCCCATCCCTTTTTCTAGGTGTAGTCAGCATCATGCCCCATGCAGCACAGTCCAGACCAGAAGCCAGGTACTCCTCTGAGGAGCAAAATGCCAACACTGGCTAGAGTGTGGTGGCACACACCTGCAATCCCACTACTCAGGAGACAAAGGCAAGAGGATTGAGAATTTGAACCAGTCTGGGCTATACAACAAGACCTTAGCTCAAGAAACAAAAACCAAAACCCAAAAACCAACACTATGCCCAAAAAGAGTTAAGAGCAGATACCTGTCTGCCACGTTGGCCTCTGTGATGGCCTGGGGGGGCACCTTCCAAGGGCAGTTGATGCGCCCACCAGGCAGGCGTTTGAAATCAAACTGGCAACAGATCTTGGGATCAGGGCCACAGGTGTGTGGAACATCGTAGCTGTAGAAGGGCATCATGTGGCAAAAGATGTCTGTGCTGGAGTCCGTATCTACAGAAGACAACCCTGGGTTTAGCCTTAGGATCCGGGTCCAGGGGCATCAGGAGGATGTAAATCCATGCTGACCAGAGGCAGCCAAGAGACAGCAGGGCCCTATCTGGATTTAGACTGTAGAGGATGTACAGGCTGGGGCACAGGACACAAGGCTCCAGAATCTACAGCTTCTTCAAAAGATGTGCCTCACAGAAGTCAGAGGTCAATGTGACTACCCCCTAACCTAAGAGAAGAGCTGCTTTGGGCAGTCTTCCCTGAAGGAGCGCAGGAGTCTGATTTCTGATAAAACCTGCTGTTACTCAGACTACACTGCTGGGGTGCCCTTGCCCCTACTTAGCCTTACCCCACGTCTGCCTCCACATGAACTCTAGGCTGCGGGTGGCAGCAAAGTGCTTCTTGATGGCATAATGCACCCTCTGAATCAGCATGCTGGTCAAGTTGGCACGGCGCAGCAGGTAAGGCATGGTGGAACTATGTCCAAAGGGGTCCACTGCCCAGCCTGAGCGTGGAGTTGCACCTGGGAAGAGAACAGGGACCAGAGAAACTCAGGGCCACAGGCCTCCAGCTTCCTGGTGATCAGGAAGCTAGTTCCCTGCCTTGGCCATCACAGTAGGCTCCATGGCCTAGGAAGAAACCACCCCCTGCTAATCCCTGTACCTCACAGCACCTTGCCACAGCATTCAGGCCCAGCTTCAATGCCTGCACTTACCCAGGTTTCTCTCCAGCCACTGGTGTCCCTCAATGAGCTGGTCGATCAATGCAAAGTAGTGGGAATTGGCCTCATCCGGCATCACCCAGCCCCCTGTTGCAATCTCCAACTGCCCATTTCCTACCAGCCTAAGGATAAAGACATACTCAGAACAGGGCAGGAACCCTACGTTTGATCTTGCCAACCAGATGACATCAGGGACTGCATGCGCTGGCTTTCCCCAGCCAGTTTACCCAAAGCATGCGCAAGAGAACATTCACTCATCTCACTTTCTCTCTAGCCTACCTGACACTGTGTTAGCCCTTCTTATCTAGAAATCTTCTCCTGTGTTCCAGAGGGGAAGGTTCCATGCTTCTCCACTTATGCTTCCAATACTAGAGACTCTCAAACCCTTACTCCTCATCCCTGCCACTGCTCTCTGTGCCTCTTCCTGTCACCCACAGAGTGAGATAAGACCTACCCGTCTAGCTAGTGCCTCCCTCTCATGCCCCCCCGACTGCCACTGACCTTCGTACTGCTGATCTCTTTTGGGCATCAATGTTGCCCCACCACTTGGCAAAGAAAGAGACTTCTGCCCAGAGGAAGCGCCGCTGGGGGTCTTCCTGCAGCTTAGACACCATGCTGTTGAGAATGTGTTGGGTCTGTTCCATGTAGTACTTGTCAAAGGTTTTGATCCAGCCTGGAGGAAGCCAGCACAAGGTCTCCTGAGGATGCCATCCCCTTCAGCTGTCTTCCTACTCACATTTGCCATCAGAAAGTCTGCCCCACCTGCCAGCACCCAGGCCCTCACCTGGATCATTGTGAGAGTGAGGTACCACAAACACCTGCAGGTCTTCAGTATCCCAGTCGTTTGGACTGTAGGTGATGTCAAAGCCTTGCCTCCACACACCGCCCTCCACGTTGTCAAATGGCAAGTCCTCAGACACAGTTAACATCTACCAGGTAGGAAGGTAGTTCAGTGCCCATCTGTAGCCACCATGGGCTCCTGCCGAGTCCAACCCTTACCTGTAGCTCTGGCTTCTGGCCCCGAACCCCCAAAGCAAACTGGCAGTCCTGGGGGGAGATGGAGAAGAAGCTGGGACGAGGCTCTGGAAGCACAGCCCAGGAACCATTGGCTGTATGGTAGGGCAGCAGGGCTGGCGGGCCCTCTGCGTTGGCTGTCAACTCCAGCACTGAGTCCTTGATGTGGCTGATGATCTCATGGTTTTCCTCCAACAGCTGCTCCAGCTGTTCAATACGGTTCTGCAGCACCGAAATTTGGCTCTGCAAACAAAAATAAACAAACAAAAATCACCCCAAAAGTAGTCACTCATAGCTCCCTATGTCATAGGAAGAACCCCTGGTTAGAGGCGTCTGATCTATGATTCTCCTCTCCTCAGCCCAAATCAGACCATGGGCCTACAGGAATGAAGTGATCTGCTCTGCACATTACTCTTGCATTCTCTCATCCACTACGCTTAGAAGTAGCATCACCCTCAAGCTCACAGATGGCAAAGATTTCATCTCACACCCATGTGCTCAGTGGCCTATGTGGCTTGTCTCAAGCAAGGTGCTGAGGATTGCATCTGGTTTAATGGAATGGAATGCTGCAATCAATTAGCAATGTCTGCCAAGAACTTCGGACCGCCTGGCCACTTTTTTGCTATTGCTATTTTTCCCTTCCTGTTGGGACTAGGGGCACAGCTCAGTAGTACAGCATGTGTTTAGCATGCCCCAGGCCTTGGACACCCACCCAAAAAAGTAAAGAAAATCTACGTAGGGATGTTTCTGAGCTAGGATATAGCTCTGTTGTAGAATCTGAGCATAGCATGCATGTGTGAGGCTTAGGTCTAATTCCAAACATCACTCCTTGAGTGGGAGGGTACTCTTGTCCTGTGCTGACACAACTCTCCTACGGTGGAAATGACCCAAACCCAGGTGATTTATGTATGAAGAGGAGAGCAACAAGGTCTAACTCACTCTGGGAAAGTTCCCACCATTCTGGTGCCTGGCAGGATCATGCTGCACTCGGTCCAGCATGAGGTAGAGTGAGAAGACTGCTACACAGAAGATAGCAGCCCCGCACACTGTCACCTGCTTCTTCAGCTTCATACTGTCTCCCACACGTACCTGGCAGGAGAGACACCATCTGTAGCTCTGGCATGCAAATGCCCTGTGTTGGTCTTCCTACCAAATGCCCCACTGAGTTCCCAAGGAGCACCCATTTGTCTAACTCCAGTAAAAAGCAGGTTTCCAAGCACCAAATTTTCCCTGCCCTAGCTTGGATCCTGATTTCATTATCTTGGCACAAGATATCTGAATGCACAAGTAAGCAGCATATCTGTCGCTGGTCCTACCTGCTCCTGGGAACAACAGCTCTGTCCTCCTTCAGTCCATACTATAAAAACTGGTGGTGGTGGTTGGGGGTGAGAGGGCTTGGCAGGTAAAGGCGCTTGTTGCCAAGCCTGATGACCTGAGTTTGATCCCTCATTCCCACCTCATGGAGGGAGGGAACCAATTCCTACAAGTTATCCTCTGACTTTCACAAGTGCGCCAGGGGACATCTGCCTGCTCATGAGCAGGTGCGCACGCACACGCGCGTGCGCGCGCGCGCGCGCACACACGCAAATAAATGTAATAAGAAAATTAAAAACCT